GGTTATACTCTCAGACCCCTATGTACCCCAGATTGGGAATGGCTGGGTTATAGGATGGCTGCTAATATTTAACTAGAAATCAAAGCTTTGAATGTGGAAATTTCTCTCTGAATTTTCATACTGAGATAAAGCTGAAGATGGTTGAAATTTTTACAATCCACTAAACAATCTTCTTGAAGATGGATATAAGGGTTCCTGATATTTATTGAATACTGAACATTGAAGACAACTCACTAAAATGTGATAACAGGCTTTAATCACTTGTTTGATAGCTGCTACCTTTTACAGTTCTTGCTAGAAAACTCACAACAGTAATTTATACCCTCTACTAGGACAACATGTTTGTTGCAGTAATTTGTTTGCTGTGTGTTTCTTTTCTTTTTTCAGGATGTCCAAAGAAGAAGCAAGATTATTTTGGGTCATTGATGATAGAAGACAAGATGGATTCTAATTTACAAACAAAAAAGAAAGAGAAAAGAAAAAAGAATATATGGTTATATACAGTGTTATTTATATGATTCTAGTCTTTTCATTGTATTGGATAATTAAATTTCATGACTAGCTATTGTCTGAGTGACAAAACATAAGGTTTTTAATTTAAAGCTTTATCAATCTGAATTAAAGTTAATAAATATAACAGAACTTAGAGATTTTGGAAGTGACAGACAGGTAATTATCTTGTATCTTGGTTATATGCTGTCCCTGCTTAGTCACTATAGAATGTTTCCAAAATTAGAGCTTTTCTGTTTGGTGTTTCATGTTCAGTCTCTTTTCTTTTTTTTTTTATGATATCAAAACTTTGGAAATGGGGAAGCTCTATAGTTTAGTAATTAGTTAGACTTAGACATCCTACAGCTCATTCTCAACTAAACTAAAAATTATTTTATTACAGGTTGTAGCTTTTACAGTAAGGAAGGTTTGTTTTTAGAACAGGTACGATATTTCAATGCTGTGGTCATTCTCAAATATATTTGTTCTAAAAACAAATTTTCCTAACTGAAAAGCTGAAACTTATAATATTATAATACTTAATCAGTAAGTAAACTCAAAACGAAACTGTTCAACTCCAAATGCTTTGATGAAAGTAGACATTCTGGTTTGTAATTCAAAAAACCTTTTGGCCATCTGTTATTCATTTAGTGACATTCAGTCAATTTCTGCTTGTAGTTAGTATTGTCATCTTCATTAATATATGCAGTAAGTGTTTGTGACTGAGTTAGGAATAATGCATTGTTTTTTTTTAATTGTGTATTTTCTCTTGTGAATATTAATTAATAATCTGTATGTTTTCAAAAAAAGTGCTGTTAAAAATTGTGTTTTTTGCAGCACTTGCATATCACTCTATGATGTTCATATTTTTAACATGTTTAAGTTGTCTAAAACTAGCTTAATGTGTATATTTTGTTTGCTCATAATGGTCATTGGCTTTAAAATGGTGTTAGATGACCAATGTTCACTTCTGATTACAGTGACAAAGTTAGTGGCAGGAATTTGAAAAATTATGAGTTTTTGTATCTTTTAAGTATATATCATGAAATTATATTAAAAACAGGGAAACATGAAACATTATGTTCTATTGGTTTACTGAAAGAATGGTAGATATGCAATTCCCTGTTGATGATAAACAATAACATTACAACTGTTCTTGAAACTTTTATGGTCAGCTGTTGCATAAAGTAGTTTATTTTACCAGATGAAACGTGGTTTTTATCAAACTATTCTTAATATAAAAAGCTACTTTCTCTACTTGTGTTATAGTTTTAAACTCTTTTAGGCACATAAGCATTTTTATCCGTGCACATACTATAAAAGATAAATATGAATAACTTGCTTCACATCCTCTGGTGAGTCAGCAATAATTCTCTGGGCTTACAATGCTAAATTCTGGGGTTTGATACCTCGTGGTGGACAGAGCAGATAACCAAAACTTTTGGCCTGGCAATTAGAGTGCTTGATTTGTAATCACTAGGTCACTAGTTTGAACCCTGTCATTGAACATGATTATCCTTTCAGCTCTGAGGGCATTATAATGTGACAGTTATTTCCATTTTTCTTGGGTAAAATAGTAAGCCAAGAGCTGGCAATAGGTAATGCAGACAGTTCTTGAGTAGCTTTACACAAAACTGGACAAAGTTTCGAAGGTAGAACCTCCATTTTTCAGTAATGAGTTTGATGTGTAAAATGTGAAAATTAGTTGAGCTATTTTATGTGGCATCTATAGCAGCCAACCATGACATCATAGAAGCATTTATATAGGTTTTGAAAATGAATGTTGGAGGTGTGGTTGTGATTTCTGGTGTGTTGGAAATCATCAGAAAAGAATTAGGGCAAAACAAGTCATTAGTCAAAGCCAAGGAAACAATTAGGGAAAATATTGAAAAATAAATTAAGGTGAATTTCAAAAGTAATCTGATGACACATTGATAACAAAATATAAATAAATATAAGAAATAAATAACTTATTTAAATAATAAAAAATTCTCTGGGGTATAGAAAGTTGGAAATTTACACAATTGATAACTAATTTCTTACTGACAGAATGGATTAAAGGTGGAAGGTCACTGATCCTAGCATCAGGATTCTATAAATATGAATATTATTCAGATTAGCAGTTTACTTTATCTGCTTTAGAGTTAAAGGCAAATAAAAATGGTCAGAAAGTTTGAATTATTGGACAATGGGAAGCCCTTGCTTTTGTTAATAGAAGACTTATGTTTCTTGAAACATTCTCTTTGTCATTTGAATTTGTCCACCATGTGAATGGTTATATTTTTACCTAAATTGTGTTGTGAAAGTAGTCTCTGGTGATTTTATTAGCTTTTAATTGTGTTTGTTGGAGAAAGTGTCTGAACCTCAAGTTGCAATATATACTATATTGCAAGGATTGCAACAATGTGGGATTAAGGGGAAAATTCATAATTTTAATTTTTTTAAGGAAAAAAACAACTGTAGTTTCAAGAAAACTAAGTTAAAATGGTCTGTAAGTTTAAACAAATATAATTTGTTTTCAGATTATGAGATATTTTTATATTTAGGATGACATTTAGTTACAAAAGGAAGTCTTTTCATTCTTTAATGGTGGATTTTTTAAGCATTTTTGTTATTCACATTATTTTGTGTCAATCTATCAGTTTCAGTGTCTGTAGCCACTTTGTAGCAAAGTTTATTTGATTTCTTGTGTGTATGTGATCTTTAATGACTTCATCAATGCAAAGTTTTGGAATAAATCCTTAACTGCAGTTGATATGTCATTTAGTTTGAATTGTGAAAACAATGTTGCCACTGTTACAGATAGTGATGATAGATTGAGAGAGTTTTCTAGTGTTTTAGTGGGTATTCTTGTTCTGTTTTTTTCAGATCACTCCTTTAGAAGCTTTATAATATCCATTATTTAAAAGTACACTCGTAATCACATTGATCACACAGTCAAGTGTTCTATATGTTATCATACAAGTGCTTGTGATCCTATTTTCATTTTAAGTATGTTTTGCTTTTGAGCAGAAATGACATTGGTAATGCATGCATAGTTACAAAAAGTCAGTTTCATAAAGCATTTTTGAGTCAGTGTTCCAAGACTTTCAGCAGTCTACATTTTTGTTTAAACTATATTTCTTCTGAAATTTGGTCTTGTCAGAAGAAATATTACAACTGGAGTCACTTAGAGTTAACTGTTTGAAAGTTCAAGATAACAGGTGTTTGCTATCAGATTTTATACTTGCTGCTGTGTATTTCAAACCCTGCACTGTGTTTTACTTTAGGAACTAGGACTATAAAGTTACTTTGGCAACACCATCTGCTTGATAAGGCATAAGAATCCCTGTTACTACTTCATTGGATGCTGGATTTTGCTGTAGGAATTTGTGTTGTAATGTTAGCTTCGAGTGCTTTTGAAATTAAAGCACTAGTTTGTGAAACAGACTACAGCATCTGTTTGATGTGTAATGAAAAGGAGAAGTAGAGTATCTGCTTAATTGCAAATTTACAAAGTTATTAAAACTACATCATCAGTTTAATAGAATACTGTGCTCACATCTTGAAGCTAAGCTTTAAGGTAATTTCTGGAAAAATACAACAGGTTTGTATGGCAAGTTTAGTATTATCAAGTGTAAGAGTACTGTTCTTTAGAATTTGTTATTGTTAAGTGAATAATACTTGCACATGTATACTTAGCTATTGTGGATCTGTTGAAACTAGTTCTATGTAAGTTCTGTATTCATTTATTAAGCACATAAAGAGTAAAATGGGATGGATGGCAACTGCCTCTTGTAAAAAACACAAGTGTAGAGGACATTGTTTCTAAAGTCTTTCTGAAGATGGCAGCTTTTTGAAACGTGAATACTCTGCCTAAACAGTCTATCCAAGAAAAGCACATAAATCTTGAGTTTGAAATCTTAAGAATAAACTAATTAAAAGGTTGTATAGTAAAATTTGAATGGTGATGATGTTTGATGTTGGAATTCAATTTATTGTCATTAATAATTTGATAGATTTAATTTTTTACCTTGCTATTGCATCTGAGTATAGTCTAGTTGTTATTGCGGTAAAAAAAAAAGAATTGAACTTCAAACTTTGAGTCTATAGATGTATTATAAGAGTGACAATCAGATCCCTCTATTTAATTACAGTAGCCCTAGAGCTGGTGGTAGATGATAGTACAAAATTAGAGACAGCTAGCACAGATACATGTTTTGTTGCTTTGTGTTTATATCCAAAACAAACATTAATAGTAATTTTAAGTGTAATGTAACAGATTCTAGTTTTGAACTTTTTAATTTGTCTATCAAAAATGTTAATACATTTGGATCATGAAGATTATACAAGTTGTGATTTAGAATTTGGAGACTTGGCATATCATTTGTACTCAATGGCTTTGGAAAATAAAGGAACATGGATCTACTTGATACACTAGAACCATCCAGAAAGAGACCTGCAACATGTCATACCACAGCCTTGGTAATCGAAGTGCAGTGCTTCATAACAGGTGAGAATCTATGAATACAAAGGTCTAGTGGCAAAAGCTGTTCACATATCCTAGGCAACAGTATGCCACAGAATCAAGAAGTGTCTTCAACTGAAAAATTGACACAAGTTGCATATACACAACATAACTTCAACCATCACATACCATAAGCAAGCAGAAAATAAAAAGAGTATTCATGCTATTTCATACAAACACACCAGTTAAGTTGCCAGATGCAATGCTTAATGATTTCTGTGAGATTGGACTGTTGTTATTGTACATTAGATATATTATGGGAAGCAAGTAGGGAAGATGGGTTTGCTTTAAACATGACAGCCTTATAATGAAACTTTTTGCAATGGAAACTAAACTGTAGGGCTGTTGTCAAGTTGCATGGTCATCAGATAGATTGTGACTGGATATGTTGACATGGGCTGTAATAAGGTGGGGAATTTCCAAAATTGTTTTAATAAAACAGTCAACTTCACATAAAATGATTCTGGAAACATGTTTGGCTGATTCCATTGGTTTTCTTAGTTCCTTATGGAATTTCCCTCATTTTTTAATTCTCTTCTTGTAGCAGATTTGGCAAATATTAAGCTATCTTGGCAACATTTTTCTGTTTTGATTCAAGATTGTGGTGAAGTTTTCAAGTCGAGAATGATAGAGATTTCTCTTTATTTTTTTCACCAATCTTTAATGGACTGTGAATTTACTTAAATCCTCATTTACACCCTGTTCAGTTTTTGATGCATCTGGAGATCTTAATTCAATTCCTTTCAGAAATGTTTACTGCTTTTACTTGTGAAGTAAGTGAGTTGGGAACCCAGAATTTGACTTGAATTTGCCATGATATAGAATCACAAATTAATTTCCACTGGCCTCATGATATGGATTCTACATCTCTTGGATGATGACTTTGCCAAAGACTGATCAGGTTTATATGTATATGCTTTTCTCTGATTAGGATTCTGTCATGTATATTGTGACAAATATTTTTCATGGCATTCTGAATTATTCTGGTGTTTTTTTTTGGCAGCTTACTCTTCTTTAGGATATAAAGTTGTACCCTTTATTTTCACTGCCCTATTGGAAACATCTCTTGTGCATTTTCACAATTGTAAACCACCAAAGTTGGGCTCATCAGATAGCTTTGCTCTCCACACAAGATTCACTTGGCTAACATTTGGTTTGTATTTCTGCAACATTTTGAATGTCCTTGAATATAGAATTTCTTTTCACTATTGGACGTTCAGTATTTAGAAATCAAAAGCTCAAGATAACTGTTGGTAATTATTCACTTTCTGTGAAGATTATATGGAATGTCTACTTTCCACCTTTTGGTGGTTTTAATGGTAAGTATTCATGGTGCCATTTCACTTCAGGTCTGTAGACTGCCAAACCTCTGTAGTTACCATAAGCATCACCATTGTAGCAGCTTAACTCAGTGTAAAGACTCGTTTATCCTAGCACCTGAATCTTGATTCTGCTTTGTGTTTCTTGGTCAAATTGTGGCATCACTACGGTTCTACCACCACCTCTCCATGCATTACAGCTGCTTCTCTATCCTCCATTCTCTTCTCCTCTGATTGTGGATATTGTAGGTCAGATTATTTCAAAGGTATTGTGTCATATTTGAAATTAATATTTTAGAATTAAAAAATGAAGTTCAGAGAGATACCTACCTCAACTATAATTGATCTCTCCCACTTCCCATAACTGTGGGTCAAGTAACAAATAAAAAGTGGTATATTTATATTGTAATTTCTTCAATGAACTTGACTCTTTACAGTAACCATGTGTATCAAGTAACAAACAGAAAGTGGTATATTTAAACTACAATATCTTGATTTATAAATGAATCCGATTCTATAAAAATAGTTTAATGTCTGTAGAAACAAAAGTAAGAGGTATATTTATACAGTAAGGCTTTGATTACATAAATGAAGTAAATTTTATAAAATAGTAGTATGTTGTGTATAAGAAACAGTAACTTTTATGAATAAATTTGTATATTATTGTAATATCTTCTCTAAAATACCATAGGTCTTTCATTATAGTCAAATGCCATATTTGCGTTGTGTTATTTAGGTGGGGAACATTTGTTAAATTGTCCTATAAACTGTTCTAGGTAAATGAAGATCCACTTATTAATTGTTATGTTACAAAAATTAATGAAGCATTCTATGAAAGTTTTATGGACAACTAACTGAAAACTTGACCTTGTGTATGTATAAGAGAAACTGTGGTAAGTTGTTTCAGCTCTCCATGTAGCTGTAGTAGGATAAAAATAGTGTAGTGGAATCTTTGTTATCATTAAATTAAATTTTTTTATACTCAGAAGCAAGATAACTGGGTTTAGTAATTAACAGCAAGATAGATGTTTGGGACATAAAAAAATCGGAATGTTTTGGGAAAATAATACAGTCCTACACTTTATTATTGTATGAAAAAAGTGTTAATCAAAAGGTACTTGTAGTGGGGCAATAATTATATATATATTAAAGGTGTTGCAGAAACAGCAGTATAGCCTTATCTGCTAGAGTAATACTGTATTTATTTTGATTGTCATTGTTTCTTTGTAGACAAAATTAATTTGAGTGTAAAATTGTATAAAAACTGCACATAAGTTTTATCGAAATTTGCTTAAATATCTCATGCTACAATAGTAATATAAAACTGTGTAGAAACAAAAGTATATATCTTTAAATTGTTATCAATAGAACAGAATCATGTTAATGAAAAAAATTTGCCAACGTGAACTACCTTTAATGAAAATGTTTGTGTTAACATAAAACATTTTGTTTTGAGTTATTATTCTGATTCTATCTGTACATTATGAACCAGGGTTGTATTGTGTTAACCATGGAATGTTCACACATTAAGCACTTGTTATTTTAAATTTCTATGTTACAAAACTGTAATTTTAACTGTAAACTATGCTTAATTGATCATCATGATTTCAACTATAAAATGTACATTTTACAGTGGTATTTTGAAGTGTTAAGACTTGTTTGTTTGTCCAGGGTTGAGTTCATGTTCTAAATCTGTTTTTACTTTGAGTTACTCATAACGGCAGGATTTTCATAATGAGCTACTTGTACAAATATTGGAACAGTACATTTTAAAGTAAGAACAGTGCTCAGTGATTTTAACTGAGATTAACATAACAGAACTACAATATCCATAAAATATAAACATATCGAGTGGTACTATCCATGAAAACGTGAATTAGTGGCACTGGATTGTATTAAGTTGATTACTTTCTTAGCCTTAAAAATAGATTATAATGAAACTGTATCTAAGGAAACAAGAATTTGTCAATTGTAATCTGTGTATGTATGGTACATTTAACTTTAAAAATATGCTACTATTTAACTCCAAATCTATAGAATGGGCCAGAATTGTATTAAATACCAATTTTGACATTACTTGAATAGCGGTTTTAACTGGCAATTTTCTAATGTCTCTTTTTTTTTAATTTTTAAAATTCTCATACAGGGGACTTTTTTTGTATGTGAAATTTTAAGTTTATGTGGTGTGCATTGTCTCAAAGACATAAACTGTCTCCCAATGAATCAGGACACAAGACTGGCATGGTAAATCAATTATCGTGAAAAATGTAAAAAGGTACTAGAAGAAAAGTACAAACAGACAAAGCAAAGAAAGAATAATATTTTTCTGGAAGTATATGCAACTATGGTTGGTGTAAGAAATAACGTACTAAAATTACCAGGTGGCTAGTCAAATATTAGTATCCCTTTAATATTTTACCATGTGAGAGTATAATCTAAAATACTGGATTGAAATTGGTAACTTCACGAGAGAAAGAAAATCTATATGATCTCAAGAAACGTAAATACACAAGGGTAGTTTTTAGATGGCATTTTATTGTGTTGTTTCCTGGAATAAATTGTTTTCCTTGATGGATGTAGTTTTCGTACTATATTAACTTTTAAAGTTACCTTCGGCAAACGCTGTGAAATAAAACTGGCATGATGACAGCTTGTTAAAAAAGTAAAGAATTTTCTCTTAAAAGCCTTGAAAGACTACTAAAGAAATCGTCCCACGATACATAATCCCTGGGATTCTTCACAGTGTCGGCGTGCATCTCCCAATCTAGAAACAGTTGGAAGAAACGGAAAGATATAGAAGATGAATTTTGGAAATGTCTCATCCAGAAGGGAATTGATAGTTATGAATTTGATCATTTTTATTTTCTTGTGTCACAAAAATATTGGATTTTAACTAAACATATCAAACCAGATTCTTTATTTAACAGGCCAGTCACAGGTATGATAAAATTCCATTATTTTCTTGTGGGATTGAATATAAGGTTGATTCCGTACCCTTCCCGATACTTTATTTTTCCAAATAACTGCCACAGTAATCGTAGAAGAAATTTTAGATGTTACATTTTTCAATATAGCTGACCTTGCTGCACACGAGCTTACTTCAAATTGTTAAACAAAATCAGTTTAATAAGTTCAATTAAATTTGTCCTGCCTTTGACACAGGTTCGTAGCGCTCACTTATACTAAAGGTAAGTGAAGTTTTTCTCTATTCATAAGCATTATCATTGGTGGATTGCATATGTTTAACCAAAATTGTTCCATGTTTATAATAAAGTATGTAGGTTTAAAACGCGCTAGTAAATATGCTCAAAAATAAAAAGACTCAGTACTTTAAAAGGCCGTTGGAAAGACTGAATAGAGAAAGCATACAAGAGAAGCATCTAGAGGCGAAGGATGGATAGAGAATATGGAAGGCGGAAGAGTTGGTGTGATAACCTTGTGACGTGCAAACTGTCATGAAAATAGAAAAGATGGCTGCATATCAAAATACCCCTAATTATTGTTATCAGAGCTGAAAGTGTTTTACTAAAGAGCAAGACAAAAATAGCTTTACCAAAGTAGAAAATAACTATTTCTTTAACGATATATTTTAAACTAGAGTACTTTTAAGTGTGAATTTTATAATCTTTCAGAATTACATTTTACGGCTAAGACTGTTTTTTACTTCATTTTACATTGGAATTGTATTTTTTTAACTTCACATTTAATTAATACATCAGGATTGCGATAGCTTCAAGTTATGAAAGTACAAGAATATTTACATTTTATTTGTCAGTTCTCTTCTTACCTTACGAAGATGTGAATCATGTATATCAAAATGTGACTTTTAATGAACAAGTGTTAGGGTTTTTAAAATACACTCTTTTTTCTTATTTGGAATTCTGCTACTTAATGTAACAATTTCATTAAAACTCCTTACATTTTAGAACATATTTTGTATTTTCCGTGAACACTCAAGTTAATGGCATAGAATTTTCACTGCATCAATTTATTCTTCACGCGTGTCTGTTTTAATATACGTGGTGGGCCAGATTTGTTAAATTTTAGTATATTATTTTTTAACTTGACTCTTTTTGTTTGTTGTTAGGTATGAAGCTACACCGTGGGTATTGAAACCCGATTGTTAGAGTTATAGTCTCTCAGACTTATCACTAAGCCACCAGAGAGCTAGCTTAACAATGGCCTAGGACTAAATTAGTTGTACCATTCGATTCTTCACTTGTGTGTCAGGATTACATTTACTTTGAAATCTTCACTATATTAGTAACTTTTGTGAACACTAATGTATAAATGTCTATCTGGTGCTCCGCAAAGATATATTATGCGTACCTGTGTTGTGTGTTTTTTTTAATCGTTTTAAAATAAAGTGGCCAAACTGTAAAACGAAACCGTGACCAAGCAAACAAGTCCTGTGACGATTCTGAGAAAATTTTTCAAATGTCAACTCATCTATTTATTCAAAACCATGTAATTAACTGAGGGTCTATAGTAAACAGTAAGAATTTAAATTAAGTAAATATTTTAAACGTACTTTAGCTGGCCATATAGTTTCAGACCCCAGACAACCGTATAGTTAAGAAACTGGTCTACAAGCATAAAGAAGTTGACCATCTCTGATTTAGTTAATGTTGTTAAATTCCACTTCTTAGAACAATATATTTGACGTGAAATATTAGCCAACTTTATACTACGTTACAAAGTGCTTTGTATCTATAACCTGTGTAATTTAAACGATTTGTGTTGACTTCAAACTGCATACGTAATAAAACACGCACTCAATGGTAACACCACGTGTAAGAATAGTATTTTTCATTTACTGATGTCCTGCTGTGAGTCAGTGTTAAGTTTGAGGATTGCAACGCTAAAATCTGGGATTACATTCTCCACAGTGGATTGTAGCCAATTGTATAGCTTTGTGGTAAACAAACAAATGCAAATAAGTATATCTGTCACAAGACATTATTATTAAACCGTTTATATTTTAAATACTACATTCTTTATCTAGTCCCTTAGGGATTTCCAATAATTCGAATATCGTATAATAATAGCATTCCAACCATAGTATCTTTGCTCCTATTCATTGCCGACGAAAAACACAAAAACAGTAGTGGTAGGAAAACTATATTTAAACTATTTGATTCAACAAATACTAAATATGCTTAAAACTACGATATAGGAGTAAGCCTACATGAGTAATTAAACAGTTGATAAAAGTTGTACTTGTAATGGAATCAGATGAATTTACAATAATACATTTTCGGTAAAGGCACAAATGAACAGTAACATTTTCAGCCTTAGTTCTATACGTTTGAAGTACCAATAGTTTTTTTTTCACTGTAAAATAATTTTACGCTATTATAACAATGAAGTTTTAACTATGAATTCAAGTGGAATTGTATAGGCTACAAATTCTCCGTATACAAGAGTAAGGTGTTTAATTATTTTTTTACTTATGAGTAGGTGTGGACTAGAACATAAATATTATCTTCCAACTCTAGACCAGGATCTGGTTAAATGCAAATTTTTAGAATTAAAATAGCAATAGATTTTATCTGTGAACTATTAATCGATCTACAGGGATTACGTTATATGTAAAATCTAGTTGTATGCAGAGCGATATTTAAATTAAAGGTTGTATTCATGATTGTTTGTTTTTTGTGCTGTAAGAAATTTTTTTTACTTGAATATGTGAAATTATGATAATATTTTGTATAACGACAAAATATCATACATTTCCAAACACTAACTAGGAAATGATGTCGTTATTAATGAAAATTTAAAAAAAAAGTTCTTCCGTACCTAAAAAATGTGTTGTTATATTAACTTTGTAAAATATCTAAGTATCGAGTTTCTTCTTAAGTTTTATTCAAGTGAATTAAGGATCATCATCAATATTAGCATATATTTGTTGGTTTTTAAACATTAGAATGTCATAAGATAAACTGCTCAAAACCTTCAGATGTTTTTATAAGCTATTGTAAGAATTTTGTTCATTGGTTTGACACAACACGTCTAAATTGTTGTAGCGTATTTTTAACTGTTAAAGTAGAATAGGTTCATAGTGATACTATGGTAGTGATAAATTTGTTTTCACTATTATTATGGCTTGGAGAATCTATTACTTTTAGCTTGTACAGTTTTGAAAATAATAAGCTTAATTGATGTATTCAGGAGATCAGGACAACGCTTCAAGCAACAAAATTCAATTTAATCACTTTATGTCCGAGTTTCAGATGTGAAAAATGATTTGGAGCGTACATACAATAATATTTTCCCTAATGAATGTGAAATTTTTGAGTTGTCTTTCATTACCAATATTCTTCGGAATCTGAATTTTACTGGTAGAAAAAATGCAAAACGTAATCTCATTATTAGCTATATCGATGGACATTTTATAGACGTTTTATTTTACCTCGCAAAACTTAATCATCACAATACCTTCTTACTTCCTACACATCTAAGGTCTTTTTCGGTGTTAATAGAAGATTTATAGTTGTTGAAACGTTCTCTAAGAATTGTTTGTGTATGTCCCACATATTGGTAATTGCAATTTTTACACTGTATAAGGTAAATGGTGTTTTTTGTTTCATAAGTGATTTATTTGGATATTTTAAAGTTTCTTTGATTGTGCTTGTCAGAAAATGAATAAGTAGATTTTATGAACTTGCAGGTATGACAACGAACTTTATTACATGGACGACAAACATTTTTTGGGTGGGATGTAATTCACTTTTTCGTGAACAAGGATATCTTTTAGAGTTCTTCTTTTTCGGAAGGAGACAACGGGAACTTCAGGAAATATCTGCCTAAGGCGATCGTTCAGTTGTAGGAGATGAAAATGTTTTTCAGAATTCGTGAAACGTTTCTGAGTTTAAACTGACAGGTAGTAATAAGAGGAATTCTATTTGAAAGTTTAGTATTGCTCTGATTTAGGATGTTTTTCCACTGAATGTTGTTAGCCTTTTCAATTTGTCTGTCGATTTCGGTATCTTTATATCCTCTTGTTAACATGGTTTGTTTTAGATCCTTGGTGTGTTTTCTGTAGTCTCTTTTATCTGAGTATATTTTCTTTATTCAAAGAGCTTGACTGTAGGTTATGTTTCGTTTAGTGTGAGAGGGGTGACGGCTTTTATAGTGAAGGTATTGTGGTTTGTCTGTGGGTTTTTTGTACAAGTCAGTGTGTAAAATTCCATCTTTTAGAAAAACAGTGACGTCAAGAAAGTTAATCTGGGTAGGCAAGTAATCACAGGTAAACTTGATTGTTTTGTGAAAGGAGTTTGCATGTGAGATAAATTCTTTAAGTGATTTTAAGACGGCTGTAACGTTTCCATGTATGACGTTTTACAGGGCTTAGTTGTAAAAGCTGGTTTTCAATATGGCGCCCATTGCAATACCGTTAACCTGAATGTACATTAAAGTCGAAGTTGTTCAGAGTTAAAACCAAGCTGGCAAGATCATTTACTGTTTGAG